ACCATCCGATTATATATTACTAGTACCCCGGAATACGTTCAGCTGTAGTGTCGTACCAACAATTCAGATGTAATACAATTCCCTTTTTAAGTACCTTGATGCGCATCCACCTCACTCGAGACTCTACCTCAACACATGAGTTGACAGGTGGCGTCTGTTCTGTGGTTTTCAGCAAAATTTATGTGGCAGGAATGTGAACTCCGAACTGCTGGACAAGTCCACAACACGCGATTGCCCATGCAGAGTCTTCATCAGGGCTTCCTTGTTTCAGGCGCTGCAGCGGCGTGACAACAGGGTTCATTCGACCTGACAAACAGTACACCGGTGACTGACCGACATGGCCTTCGTCAACAGAACTGCGGTACTCGTTGACCATGTATGTTGTTTGAGCCTTGTTGTGACCGTCCCGTGGTGCACCACGACCGTCGTATTCAACACCATGTGCAGTGCAGGCTTTGACGTCTTCTAGTACTTTCTCCACGGAGTCTCGCGAGCCGTCTGGAACTTTGAACTCGCGCATGATTTGATACACTGTCCCGCCACGCTGGCTCCATTCACTTTGAGGTGGAGAACCCAGCGCATCTTGAAATTTCACGCTCCATGCAATGCGTCGGGAGGTGGCAGACACTGCGTGACTCTCTCGTGGGTTGTTGTTGTTTGCTGGGGACCGTTGTTCTCGTGCCTTTGACTCCACGTGTCTTGGCTTTCCTCGGCTCCGCGAGCTTGCAGCCACGTCGTTTGCGCAGGGACATTTTTTAGTATGTAAACTACTACTAGGTACGTAATTCTATTCAAATCCCCCGCTTGTATTTGTTTAACAAGAGTTTTTGTTAAGTCGTTTGTATTTTAATGAGTTTATACCTCGAAATTGTAAATCATTTTGATTTACACAGTAGAAATTCAGAGTTGTCTATCGCAACCCCTCACTCGGAGAAACGATGCCCCCTCTATTCAAATATACCTTCAGATTTCAAAATTTTCAACTGTAGCAATATTTATGGAAGAAACAATTGTAAGATTTATTTTGCCCAAACGGACGGTAGCTACCGCGCTTGCTTTGCACGATGGGCGTTCAACCCCAGCCGCACCAGTCAATGACTACTATACTCTGGTCCGTAATCTTAGTCCAATTGTTCTTATCACTTTTTGACTTGATTAAAGTATGTACTCCAGAGTATTTTACCGAATAAAACTCTACAATTTGATAGTTCGTTACAATTAGAGGTTAATACCCCAAATTGGGCGTGAAAGCTGTCGCGGCAATCGCCGTGGTGCCATGAGCTCTGTATGTGAGCCCAAACGTAGGATACAGGCTCGTCTACAATGAACAACTTGTAGATGTATATCATTGGAAGGTATGACTGAGATGACTGAGAGTTGCGTTGACAGATCTCGTTAGGCTGAGATGACTGAGAGATGCGTTGACAGGTCTCGTTAGGAAGTATCCTAGCATGGCGCAGCGCTCGCCCCCTGGCAGCTCAACGAGACGCAGAAATACAACGGGGGTGTCAACAACGCCAGTGAATACGCAAGGATATACTTACAGGTAGGATAGAGCTGTAAGACTCTGAGTGTACGCGATAACACCGACATTGATTGCTCACCGGATGAATTGATAGTGAGTATTTTTTTCACTACCCTGTGGAATTGGCAGGTCACATTTTGGGAACGACGATGAATCATATAGTCCACAAACTAGCCAATCAACAATGAGATTAACAGCTTTCTATTCCACCAATCAGGTACAATAAAGAACAAGATTTAGGAAAACGTCGAAAGTTTGAAACAATTTGATTAAGATTTCGGACCAGAGTGATATGTCGCTGACGGCGAATCTGTGTGATTATCAATCAAAGCCAGTGGAGGCAGAAATGGCAGGTTTGTGAGATACCTACCCTGCTCGCGTGCTATGAGTACAGAAACTCTACACACAAAGAATAGGGAATCACAGATATAGAATGGGGAAACAAATGAAACCGTAACGTTACAAAAATAATACTTACGTAGTATATGGTAATTGTAACGATATATGGAAATTGTAACGATATTCAAATACTATATCAGGTAAGCTTTTTTTGTTTCTCAACAGGGGCCAAAACGACCGCATGATGTTCCGAAATTCCGTGTTTGGCGAGTCACGATGCATCCCTCGTGGTGGTTTTATTGTTGCTGACGCCGACTTCACGCTTCTGCCCTAAGTGTTGTAATCATTTCCAATCATGCCGAACATGTGCGAGGCAGAAGCATACTACAATTTTCTGCACTCCCACATCCGCATTGTTGTTGAACAATGCATTGGATAGTGGAAGAACAAGTTTCGGTTGTTCAAAAAGCCGTTAGAGTTCCATTCTCCTCAACAAATGACCCTTGTCATCGAAGTAACGCTAGTGTTGCATAATTGGATGATTCACCTTGACCGCAATTCAGCCGGTCCAGCGCAAATGGACGCACAAAATAGCGATGTGGCAAAGGCGAGTCGAGACAACTTCAAGAATTATCGTAACGAATATGTATGTAAGTCATTTCTTTAAATTGAAACAACATATCTAACCGTTGCGATGAAGGTAGTTTATAAGCTCACTCTGAATCGATGTACAATGTACGTTGTTCTACAGCTGCATGCAATTTATCTATAGCCCAGGTCTCATAAGAATAGACGTACGCCTATTTTACCTATTTTAAGCTAAAATAGGCATTTCCTGCCAGATAGAATAGGCGTCTCCTAAACACAGGCTTGTATTGCTCTAATTAACTGATTTTGAGGTATGATGGCTCGTGGAAGGTCGTGTGTTAGTCGGCATCCCGCGGCGCGATCAGGCCGAGTATCTCAGGACCCAGCAGTTCGGATCGGTCTGCATGACCTCCAGGCCAAATTCCTGGGCGTGCCTGTGCTAGAACGGCGTCTGTCGCAGCGGCAGCTCCTGCCGAACCCACTTCTCCTTCTCACCTGCCATGTTGACGACAGCAAAAGATTGCAGGGACAATTTAACTTATTTGAGGCCTTTTTATACCTGTAATTTATGTTCCTTAAATTAGGCGTTAGGACACGGATAAAATAGGCATAATAGGTATCTATGTTTAAAAACGCCTATACTTATGAGGCCTGCTATAGCCTCTAGCAGCTACCTAGTTTCTTCGCTATGTACGTCGTTCGATACCGATGATGGGTGTAGACTCGTCATCCCTCGAGACTCGGGTGGACGCCATCAATGATGACACGGCTTCAGACTTGCGGAGCGAATCTCCACGACGACCTTGCTGCACCGCTTCGTCCACATCGATGCGGTGTGGACAAAATTGCTCTCAACCCACCGATTCGCACGCCAGTGGCTAGTGTATTCCCGTCGGCGTTGGAGCGTGAGACTTGTTTTAATGGCATTGATGGCAGTCGTATGTCCACAACCTTCCTGAGATGGACTCGAAAACAGCGTTGACATATCGCTTCATGCTCATTGTGGCCGTTGATGTGGCGTGTTGGTGTGGATAATAGTAATATCGAATCAACAGTTCGCACGCCAGTTGCTGGTGTGGTCGCGGCAGTGTTGGCGGGTTGTCCGACAAGCTCGGATGGCAAAGAGGTCGAACTCGCCTTCAACCTTCCCCAGACGGACGGGTTCGTTTCGTCCACATCACAGGCATCAACGGCCGCGCTGAAATTTGGGGTGGCGCGCTCGATCTAGGGGGCGATCTGACACGCTATCCCGAACTCTTGTCGATCGACCGCCACTGGTGTGCACAACGTCGACGCCACTTCACGCACAAGGACACAGTAAGCGAATCCGTAACCGACAAGTACAACATTAACATAGAACCGATGTCGTCAATTCGTTGGTACCGATGTGCACGAACTGGAGCAATAGCTTGACCACCATGAAGTATCACCACGACAACGTATTGGCGGCATCCGACCGGTGACAAAAAGTCGCCACGTCGAAGCCGCATACAGGTGTGGCTTTGGTTCGAACGACATCACAGCGCCATTAAGTGGGGTAAGCCCAACCAAAGCCTTGGTGCTGATACTGGCAAGTCCAAGCACGAGGTCTAGACAAGAATGAGCCATTCTGGTTGGTAGCACAAGACAGAAAAAATATTCACGAACAGTGGTACACCAAGGAAACGTCGCATCCGTACGTTTGGCCATGATGGCACAGATGAAGTCGACGAGATTGGTCGAGTCTTGAATGGGTTTGACCAGCGTGAAGATTGGCAACTTGGCACCATCGATGCGCAGAGTCGGTAAGGCGGTCATGCCCTACGAGTGTGTCTCGGAGTTCGCAACGTAACTGCCGCCACTACGCACAGCCCATATTGTGCTCGGGCACATGTCGTACTGAATCCCCATCTCGTCAGCGTTGTGCACGCAGTCTAAGGCACGTCTGGGTGGTCAGCATGAAACTGTTTGCCAAAAGCAAGTCGTGTCTCCTCGAGGTCTTGCTGGGTCTCCTTCTGGAGACACACTCGTTGCTTGGAAAAGCCATGTCGGTCAGGTAAATTTTGGAGCAGACGCAGCAGCGAGTTGTAGCCAGACGCTCGGGTTGCCATGTAGTCTTAAAGCCAGGCCATGTGACCCGCGCGAAGGAACTGAACCATGTGCGATGATGTCATAGTTTTCTCCATCCGGCGAAGGGCTTGAAGGTACGTGACGACATCAGCGCTGTTTGGGATGATAGGCTTGCATGCGACGCCAGGTTGTCGACCAAAAATGACAGAGGGGCCAATTAATTCAAACTTCAAAAGTTCGTTCAGATAATATATCCAAACACTTTCATCCATCCACGCCGTCTCCTGGACAGCGTAGACATGCCCAGGAGGATACGTCGGCAGCTCTTCCGACTCAATTGCACCGGATGGAGTCCCGCGCACAATAAAAAGAGTGGGCAACTTTGTTCCTATATTAAATAATGTCGTTAGATTGTGTATGACGTTAGAGATCGTGCTGGCGGAGGATGGATGCTTGCATTTCAAAATTTGAATTATTGGAGTTACGTTTCGAACCAATAGGCGATCGTCATGCAGATCGCCTTTTGCTATCCAATCAGCAGCTAGGTCATAATTTTGCATTTTCGCCGCGACAAACTTAGAAAGGATCAGATGAATAAAAATATGGGTGTACCACGCTTGCGAGTTAATACCGAGTTCAGTGTAGTGACCCCCGTAATCCATCCATGGTGAGTGAGGCTTCGGATGTCACTAATTGACTAGTAATGCCAGCGACGCCAAAAGAAATGGAATAGCCGATCGGAATGATTTCGGTTAGTTTGATGCGTAGCCGGGCAAAATAGATTGTGCTGGATAACACCACCGTGGTGCCGAAGTGCGGCGGCAGGAGCCCAAATTCAACGCAACATACATCCAACCCTAGAAATAAATTATTAATATTAGAAAATAGAGATAATGTTCAGGTCAAATAATAGGATGCATTTCATAAAAGATATTACACCAACGCTTTACCAGTAGCAGCGCACCGACAAATTGGTCACCGCCGGAGCCTTCAAAAATGTACCGCCCTTGTGCACTCCCGAAGCTCCATCCAGCTCCAAACCAGATGGAAACGGCTTGTGGGCCACCCGGAGTGCTCAACAATGTGCTTGCCACACCTATGCGGAAGGATTGCGTGCCGACGTCAGAGATGGATAAGACCATGACCACAATGCCTTCCTCGTGTAATGCACAGTGTTGCGAAACCATACCGAAACCGTTCTTTGGCGTTGTACCCCAACCGTAGTGTTGGGGACCCAGGAATTTGTACTATATCAAAATATATTTTTCACTTTAATTACCTCATTAACAACAAATGGTACCTTAAGATATGACAAATATCTGGACGCAAAGGATAAGCATAAATATGCCGTGGAAATGGCATCCTTCCTTCTTGATCGTTCTTCATGAGCCATATCGAATCTGTAAAGCTCGCCTGACCACATACAATAATCCAACCCATAAAACATATCTTTAATACACTAATCTACCTCTCCACAAGATATGCTCATATCGAATTGAAGATGTTGACACTGCACGGGCATTGAGGTTCCAACACAGCACCAAGAATGGGTGCACACTAGAAACGAGGGCAAAATCCGTAGTCGAGGATATAGCATGTTGAGCAAGGTAGCGGTAACCTACCTACATATTATTGATTGAAGTATTTAAAATATTATAGTAGTAATAAATCACAATATACCATCAAAAGAAAGTGGTGATTTTCCTTCTGTATCGGGCCTTCATCGCTATACTTAAGCTTTGCAAAAAACATTTTGTATCCAGACACATAGTCTACAATACTCCACAATGTAACACATACTAATTTCAAAATAATAAATACCTTTCATTGTGGCAGCCATATCATCAGCCGTGCCGATGCCATCTTCGCGATGAAGTAACATGATGTCATTCTTCGCGCTATTGCTTGTCGAAACTGTGGGTAAACTACCTTGGCATATAACTTCACGCCCCGCTGTCGTGCGCTTCACGGACGCATACGACAACATCGGCTTGCATAGCTCGAGGGACACTGGGAGTATGAGCTTTCCGGCTGCGACGTGTAGTGGGTGCTCGCGTTCAAGCCAGCGTGTGAACTGCGTTATGATTGAGTCGTATTGGGAACCTCATGTCCTCTACTACTCGTAGTACGATGACGCATCGTCAGCTGTCTCGCTCATGGTATATGCACGGCCTCGGCGACCCATCATATTTTTTTATGTGAATTCTTCTATTTGCTGTACTATTAGTATAACAGTTTTTAATGTGAATTCTTCTATTTGCTGGACTACTACACTATAACATTTTTAATGTGAATTCTTTTATTTGCTGTATACTACTAGTATGTTAATAGTTGCTTGATTTCGTGTTTGTTTCGTGACTCAGCGTATATCTTGGATACAAAGAAAATCATACAAACTTTAAGATTGCCTGCATTGAATTACTTGTAAAAGGTTTGCGAAACGCTGACAAGCAGTATAAAATCGAGCGTTCGTCCACGTTATAGACGTCGTTCGTGTTGTAACCACTCGTTACTTGTAGCATTTGCTGGCGACCGTCAACAACAGCAGCCGCGGGTGTCGAGGCAGCTTCGCCGTGCTGAACCTTGCTGGTGAGTCCATGTTTTCGTTGGAACTTGTATAGCCAACCCTTGAAAAAATATAGTCGCTGGCACTTCGGATTTGCACACCGAAGCCAACGCTTGCTTTCGGATAAGCTCTCCGGTGATGCAGACCCCCAACTCCTCACAACGGAGGACCCACTGGACAACGAGTCGTTCAACCTCCGGCAGCGAGACGGCTGGATTCATACATCTTATTGTGTTGTCGGTACGTTGGCTCCGATTAATGTGGCGATTAATGGCATTACAAATTGTTCGATTTGGATGGGCTACTTGTTAACGTAAACGCTTCCTTGGTCCATGTTGGCAGCTCGGTATACTTCACAGCAGGATTCCGTACATGCTGCGCGTGTAGCTCGTGCTTATCAACCAAAGTCATTCGCGACTTCATCTTTCAAAATGATATCACAAATTTGTGCCGAGTTTTAATATTATGAGTTTTCAAAAATTATCAAACATGCCCCGTTTCGATCCAGGGGGGAAATCGGTAACTGCTTTGGGAAACAAAAACAGATCGGGACTACTCCCACGCTAAAATTCCCGACGTTGTAAACGCAGCTAGAGCAGGTACTCATTCGCCTCGTGCAAACGGTAGGTCCACAATCACTTTCGTATTCGCTTCGACCATTCGTACTTTCGAAATGCGTTGCGACCGTCCTTGGAAATTTCGTCAATGAAGACAAGTTGGTCGGGGTACAAGTAGTAAGGTTGCAGGCGGCCGAAGTAATCCCGCAGCTCGAAATCAGCAGCTTCCATTGCTGCTGATTTCGAGCTTGGTGTCGAATTGCTGCTTCGAGTTCCTCAATGTAGAAGCAAGACTGGTAGACCGCGTAGTCTTGCAACCACGCGTTCACGTCGGCTGGCCATCAGTGAGCCAGCGTTAGTTTTCGGACATCATTAACATGCCCTGTGGTCACGAACATGGCGTTGAATCTTGTCACTGATCGTCATGACATCCCAAGGATCAACCGCACAACATCAATGTCGATACCGTACAATTGAATGAGTACAACACACATCCAACGTATGTCAATGGAAGACTCCCGAAACTCTCGCATCACATTTTGCGAGTGGCTCGCATCTGCGACATTTTTGGTATTTTAATACCAATCGCAAATTACGGAGACCAAAAAACAGTCTCCGCAAGTTGCGACCACGCAAGCAAAATCACCGTAGCAGTTTATACAAAATAAAAGAGGTGTTTAACGAGTAGACAACACTCTAACTTACAATCCAAGTTATGGCGAAGAAAGCAAAGGGTCGTGGAAAGAGTTGGTGCCCAGGGTCGGTCGAGTTGATGCTCGACCACATCCACGAGCTCATGCCAGCCGGAAGTAACGTCTGGGATGAAGTTGCCGCCAAGTTCAATGCTGGTCCTTACCCTTTCCGTGATGCAGAAGGTATCAAGCGCAAGTTCTACACGCTTCGAAACAACGCAGAGCCCACCGGCGATCCGTCGTGCCCGGTGGATGTCGTTCGGACCAAATTCATCAGTCGTCGCGTTGACGCCAACTGTGCAGTGCTCACCATGGAAGGCGACGAGGACGACATGGACGACGACGGTCATGGCGATGGCAACAGTAATGGCAACAACTCTGCGTCCGAGCAAGGTATCTCTATGGTATGCAATTCGGTTATTCATGTGCCTCTCTTGAGATGAATGACAAGTCGAGATGAGCGAGGTCCCTCTCCCTGCGTCGCGCCATGAGTGCCCCAGTCACTGAGCTCGCTATGTTGAGGAGCAGATTGAAGTGGGCCGCATCGGGGCCCCCCAGTGGTGGTATGACGTCGTATGTGGCGAAGAAATGTCAATCAATTGACAAGTTTATTGATGGCGCGATGGTATCTGACGCCAAGGCCTCGTCGGACATGATGTCCATGATGCTGCTCATGGACGAACGCGCTACTCAGCGGGAAGAAAAACGGCTCGACAAAGAGCTCGAATGGCGGCAGCAGCAACAAGAGCGTGAGGAAAAAGTCCAGCGAGATCGATCTGAACGCGATGCATGACGCGATGAAATGCAGCTCATGCTGTTCACCAAGCTTTTTGGTAACAAGTACTACTCTGGTCTGATATCTTGGTCATATTGTTTTGCTATTGGCGGCATTTTTCTAACAAATACTTTTGGAAGTAGCTGATTGGTGCGTCAAAAGGCGCAAGATCTCAGTTTTGATTGGGTAGCTTTCGCGCATTCTAGTTCGTTTTGCTTCAAAACTTACAACATCTCAAAGTTGTCCAGTCAATTTTTGATAGACAAAACTCTCCGGAGAGAGCTCATTATACAATTAACTGCGTTCAAGTCACTACCCAACCATCCCCACACCTTTGACGATGCGTGTGGCTCAAGCGGGGCTCTGCGCGACTCGAAATGTAGACGGGAGGCCTGAACGGAACCTTAAACTCGTCCAGCACCGGGCCGTCTTTGTCCAGCTCTTAGAGCGATCCCAGGGAGGAAAGATTCCTTATGGTGCATATAAGGAGGTTGCATGTGCCTTTCGTTGCCACCCGAGGACGATAACTCGCATCTGGAATCGTGGACGGCACTCACAAAGCAAGAACCATGGCGTCGCGGCAAAAATGAGAGGTAAAACTTGTATAATTTTATATATTCCAAAAGTATTCGTTGATATAAGTATTACTTTCTAAAGGTGTACTATATTAGGAAATTCCGGTCGCAAAAAAACGCGCACCGCAGAAGAAATCAAAGCCGCCGTGCAGGCGGTGCCCCATCATGCACGCCAAACAACACGAACTTTGGCAGCCAACTCCGAAATCCCCAAGACGACGCTACTCACCCACATGAAGCAACACGGTACACTGAAGGCTCGGTAAAGCTACGTGAAGCCGATGCTCACAGACGAAAACACGAAGACACGGATGGCTTTCGCACAAAGCTTCCTCCGACCGTTGTCAAATGGAACCAGTTTCTCCAACATGCACGATGTTGTACATGTTGATGAAAAATGGTTCTATTTGACAGAAGTCAAAAAGAAGTTTTATGTGTACGAAGATGAAGAAGTCGCAGCCCGATCTCTTAAGTCCAAGAACTTCATCGCCAAGGTAATGTTTCTTGCTGCAGTGGCACGACCGCGGTACAACCCCTCCACCAAGGTGAGCTTCGATGG